GCACATACTTTCAATTTGTGAATTTTTCCCATGAACGAAATGTTACATTTTAATTCCCCTCAAATTTTGAGTCTTTTTCCAGACACTCCTCTGGCAATTTTGTCTGTTCATCAACAGTGGGTAACCAATTTTTTTCCATGTTAGCTCGTTTATCAGAGATATCACTTCCTGAATCAAGTAATAATTTTATGGTCTGCCCATTTATTTTTACATTGAGGTATTTTCTTCTTTGACCCTCCTCAATTTCATGTTTAGACAAAACTACATTCGCTTTTGCCTGAGACTTTGTTTTTTCATTTCTCTGTTTTGTCTGACAATGGGAACTTTTATGGCCCATAATTATAACATTTTTTATCCTTAAAGTAGCAATTCTTCTTGCAATGCTGTCCTCCACAGGCACTGCATATTATTTTTCTTAGTTTTTGTAACCACTTCTTTTGTCGTACAGTTTGTACTCGTGAAATGTTCTTCTCCTCAATCTGAGTAGTGTCTTTTTTTACATTTATCATTTGTTGACATTCTTCAGTTACTTTTTGTAACGTAATCTCTGGATCTCTTTCCATGATCGAGAGGATTCTTACTCTAATTTCTTTGTCACTTGGTGTCGTTAGACCTTGCACAAAAATTAGACACTTGAACATGTCGCTTGACAACTCTTTTAACTTAAACGCCTCACACTGTGCGTTAATCATACCTGCGCATGTAACAAAATCATCATCATCTTGTTTAACGATGTTCAGACACTTGTATCGAGTACGAAACAGGCTCTTTTATCAAAAATTTTCAACAAAATTTCCAGTTTTGCCAGATGTCATTTCTTCTGGCTTCTTTGGGAGGATCAAATTTGTGTATTTTCTTCTGTTCCCAACTTCTGCAACAATAAAGTAATTTTTTCCTCATCGGACCATTGTTTGCACCTTTTCGTAAATATTGTTTCAAACCTATGAAAATAAGCCAGAAACGTTGAACCACTGTCAGGGTCATATTTAAATTCCGAGAGTGAATTTGCAATTCCTTCAACTGAAAACAATCTAGACCCTGGTTCATTTGTTGCCCTAGATAGTATGTGTTCCAATAACTTTTCAAACCTTTCTTGTTGCTGTAATTGCTACTGTAAAGTGTCTTGTAGCACCTTAGCTAATTCCACCATTTGTTCCATTTTGCCAACGTATTCACTAGAAAACAATTTTGCTCCAATAAACAATAAAATTCTTATTCCAAGTGTTTCACAGGTTTTTCTAACATTCCTCATCAATAAGCGTTAAAACAAACATGAGTGAAAAAATTACTTTAAGTAAGCGTCAAACAAGTTTTTCTAAAGTTCTTCATTAGTACCCGTTGTCGACTGTATTTTTTTTTTTGTTTTAACTTGTGAGGTCATTATGAATCTCGTCGCCAACTGATATGTGCTGGAAAGGGATATATTTGAACGAAGTAGCTAAGTGATTTTGGCTACTATAACCAAGTAGAATACGGTAGCAGTAATCAACTGGTGCGGCGTCAGTAGTCTGGAGTAAGAAGTGTAGATCAATGGCGTAGTCCAATGGGCATTGTTATAGACTTAGCTCTCAGACTAAGGCTCTGACTCTGTCGTACCTACACGTTCATCGGTATTTATGACGGACACCAGCCAATCATATTCCAGTGAGGGGGAACACTGGTGTATGCATATTCCATTGTATCATTTTCTAATAGTTGTTTATAACAAGAGCACATATCAAGCCCTGATATTCATGAAGTTCCATTTTTATAGCTGTATCAATTATTAGAAGTTAATAATTAAAACTTGACAATTATCATCTATTCTTGGAAACTGCACTAGAAAAACTTACAGGTTATGAAAAGCCTTGAGAAGATTAAAGTCTGAATCACTCACATAAGGATACAAAACCCCGTTAAAATATTTTGAGTAATAAATAATTACCATATTTGGTGACTATGTGAAAATTAAGGAATAAAATATAATTGTATTTTAATCTCAAAAGCTATAGTTATCATGACCACAAAATTTGTAATAAGTTGTGGTAAATTAGTAATAATGAAGGTGCACATTTTTAATTTTGGAAAGCAGAAACTATTTTTTTTTTCTAAGATTTTGCAAAATATATACATACATGTTGTAAACTAATTTAAACAATTACTGCTTGAGATGAAGAATTGTGAGAAAATAAGGCCAAATAAATCATTGTGTAATTTAACAAATTATGATTTTTCTACTCAACTGAAGTTAAATCATCCATATACTTTTTTGGTAAATAGATTATTGGTCTTGTAAAGTAAATCATTTCATTCAAGATATGAACTAACACGTGACATTTTCCTGATTAAAAAGAACTGATTGTTGCAACTGATTAAAGAATTGGAAAAAAAAATTAAAAGCCTAGATACTAAAAACTAATTACGTTTGTACAAAAAATAGTTTTAAAAAAAGTAATCAGTCTGTTTTTCTAATGCTTAAATTTAGGAGAAAAAAATAATAGAATTGTTAAGTTTCAGATCATTGAAAAATTGTTTCCATATTCTCCTAAAAATCAAAAACATGATAGAGTTTTCTTTGTGCATTATTTCTTACAAAGTGAATTGACTGTGAATTTGTTTTTTTTAAATATCACTCAGTAATCAGTGACATTTTAAACTTTTTACGGTCACATTGACTTATCTCCACTTCACTTAATGAGATAAGGTTGAACATCACTTGTTTATTTCGTGTTAGCTTTCTTTGGATAGCTTTTGAAAGAGTAACAATCTTAAAAGTGACAATAGTGTTTAGTTAAATGTAGATTGAAGAGATATAAATCCTCGATTATTCATGCAAAAAATATTAACAATGCAATTGTAAAATCACTGGCATATTTTCTGTGTCGGTAACGTAAAAAAAATAGTAATAAAGTTTTAAATCTTGAAAGAAATTGTTTTTATTTTAAATTCAAAGAAAATAAACTTAAATAAAAAAAAAATGAGCATACAGGTTGAAAGAAAGATAAAAAAAAAAGCCACTTAAAACTTAAGACAAAAGTTTTATCGTCAATCCAAAAAAAAAAAGTCTTTGTACGGAAAGGTCAAAGGATTTTTTACGTTTTTTTTTTTTAAATCCTTTTAAAACCCTAGGAATTTTGGTTAAAAGTCTCGTTTTTTCTTGCGTCAACATGGGGCCATAAATTAGTACGACAAACAAATTTGAACGTCTTTTTGTGATGAAAAAAAAAAACAAAACAAAAAAAAAATAGAGACACATTTGGAAATTCTTACGAATCAAATAATTGTTGGAATGAAACTTTCAGGAATTATTCACAAAAATGTATTGTAAAAATGTTGTAATGAAATTATTTTTTAAAAACGTTTCTTTTTGGTATTCTCGGTATTTTTTTTCCTTTTGCATCTGTTACCCCACTTCACTTGATTTTATGAAATTTCGAGAAATTATTTTTTGTAGAAATTTAATGGTCAAGTACGTTCATAATGTTAACCTTTTTCTTTTAGAAACTGGTCTTAAATTGCTTTTTTTAGTTTTACTTTTATTATCCACCTGGTTGTATTCTAAACTGAAAAGGATTTGGCAGGTACACAGGATAGAGATACTTGGAATCAGCGTAATTTTACACATGTTCCAAATTGCATCTACGTTTTGCAACAATTTTTTTTTGTTTCATTTCAAAACATTCGCAGACCATGTAATGTTCCGATTAAGCACCAAAGTTTTATTTGAAAAATGAAATTATTAAATTAAACTGAATAAAAAGTTTCCTCAAAGAACCCCAATCATTTTTGTCTGATATTGTAAGATACTATTTGCCTTTATTTTTCGATTAATTGTTCAAAAATGAAAATCGTTGCAATGTAAACTTTTAACACTACAGTCGCCCCATATTTGGGCGGGTCTCAACATTTTGTTAAAAACTTGTTTTCAATGGGAAGAGAAATATGATGAATCGGCTTTCTTGAACTTTTAGAGTGAAAAAAATATAAACCAAGGAAAATATTTTCTTTCAGAGTTAATAAATTGTTTAATTTTTCGCAAAGTAGAATAAATGTTGTTTACAAAAGGAAGTTAAGTGTAGGTCCGTGTTTTTTGTTTTTTAAGGATCGTAAGATGATTTTTTTGATGCAAACCAATATTTGATGATTTCTCTATATTTTTTTTATTTAAAAAAATTTTGACTTATTTGCACTTACTTGATGAAATAAATTTTAATTCTACTACAAAAACAATTTAATTTTAGATAGAAATTGTTGCTTGTCCAGTTTCTGAAATAAAGTGTTTTTAACGGATCCCAACCCTAAAAAGTAAAAACAGGCTTCTTTATCGAAAAGAAATTCGACACGTGTCGACAATATTCAAATTTAAAACAAAAATTAAAGCAATGTTGTAAAATAAATTATCTAAATTTGAATTAAAAGAAAGAAAAGGAAAAAGCAAGCCAATTGACGAGTTTCATTTTCACTATGATGACTAGAAGAAAAAAATAATTGCACAATAGTAGTACTATTTTGATTAGTTTCATATTTCAGTATCTTTTTAAAGGTTTCTTGACAGCATTTTTATTTTAACTAATAGAAAGTAAATAACAATTAACAGAAATCAACGTGCTCGGCTCTTTTAGAATTATTATAAGTTTGTTTTGAAACTAGACAAAAAAAGTGATTATTAAAAAAAGTGTCCGAGAAAAGGAAATCATTCTTTGTATGCGTCAGTAACGATTATAATGCTGTTCATGGAAATTAGTTATTTGCTAACAATGTTATTATTAATGCGAATAGTTTTTTTTTTTTTGAGAAGTACTTTCGGGCGAACCGAATTGATACCCCCATCCCGACAAAAAAAGAAGAGAAATAACAATAGCAGACAATAAATATACTGTGTACAAAATATTTAATTGCGTTTTTAAAATTATACCGTTCATTTATTTATTAAGAAGAATTTATTTTGTAAAATGAGAAAGAAAGAAACATACGAGCAAAGTAAAAACAATTGTAAAATTCTAACATTATTCATTTCTTACCGGCGCTTAGGAATTGTTGGCGCTTCTTGCTCCATTTGTATTTTATCTGAGGTATCACTACAATATTTAACCTGCACGGCATTTGTATTTCTAGAACTTTCTGAATCATTAGTATCCTCTGTCGACATTTCCACGGCTCCGTTGCTATCCTTCACTACTCTCAAACCATCCTTGTCCGCCATGTTAATAAAATCGTGAATGAGAATAACAAACAGAGCGTTCGTTAATCTGATTCGTTATTCCAAAGATTGACTGGGTTTTCTTATTTATTTAATAATTATTCCTTCATTTACCTTTAGAAACATTTCTGTCTTATTATAGCTTTCTTCTTCAATAAAGTAATATATTTACAAACATGAATTAATTCCAGTTTGAGGTCTGACACAAAAAAAAACGATAGCCAGAAAAATTCAAAGTTACTATTAATGGCTTTTAAGATTAACGTGCAATTTACTGCATTATTGAGGAGTGCTTTAAAAGATTTTGTTCGTATCATTATTTACTCACAAATTGTTTTTATCAATGCTACAACAAAAATATTTTGAAAGTGCATTGTAATTTGTACAATATTCTCCAATTAATTGATGTGGCAGGGATTCCATTTTTAAAGATTTGTTTAAATACAACAAACTGTCAAATAGTTACATTATTAAATACTACACAATCCATGGTGAATAACTTGTTCCTTTTATACATATTAGTTAAAATTGTATTGAATCTATTAGTATTAACACATATATTGTAATATTCACATATACACACAAGGTTTATCCAAAGCATATCCTAGAATTTTGAATATTTAGAGAACTGGTTGCACGGTCTTAATGTAACTTGACAACCAATCTAAAAAGACATTACTATGCATGTAAGAACAGACACTATCCTAGGGGTTACTCAGTCAGCAGTGAGATGCCACTAAGCAAGCTTATGTACTGTGTTGCTATTATATTCACAATAACCAAGTGTCAAGCTAGTTGATACTTCAAAGTCTAATGCGTGGATTTTGGCAAAATATTAATTCACCCATGTCTGTCAACGCTTCTCATGTAGATTTGACTACATTTGATATCTGACTTTTCCCAAAGTTAACATCATCTATAAAACATTATAAATAATATTAAGAAGAAGATAATGAAGTCAGCTATAATTCTGAAAGAGGATTTGCAGATTGTTTTGAAAAATGGAAGTAACCCTGAGATCCCAAGCAGAGTACTTTGAAGCAGAGACATGGTTGCTTTAGGTAGGCTATTTCTTTTTGTTAATTTTTTTTTTAGAATCATTTCATCCCAAGCAAGGTGATGAAGCCAGTAGGACACAAGTGGTTACAGAAAGTGAAAGAAAATGAGAAGACTTTAGTGAGGAGAAAGGGCAATAAATGAACAAGATTCAGGAAGAGAGAAGATGGCAATTAATGTTGCATTTAAATTTTTGAAGATTGTAGTTGATAGGGAAGCAAGAGATCAGAAGGGAGTTCTACAAGTGAGAAGTACAAGAAAAGAAACTGTCAGAATAGTTTCATCTAACTAGTAAAACATTGAGACCTAATTGCCAATCCAGTAACATGCTTAAGTTCCTGCAGTCAAGTTTAAAAAAATAAACAATCATCAGAACAGTTTCCATGAAAAAACAGAGGAAAGCGATGTCATGTTGGTGACAAAGTGACTGAAGTCAAGATGACAGGTCATGATCAATTACATTAGAGCCTTCTTTGAATTTTGTCATGAATCTCACAACAAGAGCTTAGGCGAATGGTAGATTTATAAAATGTGGAAGATGGATTTTGACAAGAAAACTTTTCTGGCACAACAGTGAACTAACTATTAGCAGTAGACCCAGCAATTGATTTAATATAGTCACTCCACTTCATGTCAGCAGTAAGAGGGCATAAAGTTAAAGTGTTACTCTCCTGGAGTTTAGCATCAGTCATGCTGATGGCAGACAGAAAAGGTTCTCTGTGATGATTAAATGAAAGCAGTTTTGTTTTGGAGGTATTTAAATTTACAAGTCATTTCTTGCCCCATTTAGCCACTGATTGGCGGTCCTTTTTGAGAGCAGTTGTCAGATTTACGTTGTTGGATCTGTCAGACTTGCTGCTATGACAGGAGTAAATAGCTGTGTCATATGTATAAATACCTAGTTTGATATAATTTCAGTGATAGTTGTTAACACATCAGTGGTAAGCCATATTGTTTATCTGAAAAGAGACTGTGTGATTATAGCCTTTAGTACTTTACCAAAAAGATGTAAAAGACTAATTTGAGGGGTCAGAATGTTCCCTGTAGTACTTAAAAACAGGAACTACAAAGGAGGACTTCCAACAAGCTGGAAAGTAAGAAGCAGACAGCAAGATATTTATTATAAAGTTTGAAGAGAACAGAAGCAAGTTCAGGGGCACATTTCTTTAGAACGACTGTACAGACACTGTTGAATCCAGAAGCTTTGTGGTGATCTAGTTTAGAAATGATAGTAGAAATCCTGGACAGAGTTATGCTCATATTACTCAATAGATGAGTTGATGGAGTTTGAAGAGAATTTCCAAGCAAAACACTTTGAAGTATTGACATCTACTGCAGATAAAGCAAATTGATTCAAGAGAGGGACTGAGGATTTGCATTTGTTCAGCCCACTCTTGCAGAGATGCCAGTAATCTTTAGAACTAAACTTGTGAGAGGTTATATGATGGTAAGTGATGGTAAACATATACATAGAATATTTTGAGAAAATGTCTTTAAAATGTCACCATGAAAGCCAACTATATGGAAGAGATACATAGATATCTTCATACTTTGGCCTCACTAGTAAAGATGTGCAAGTACTTGCTGGCCAAAGTGAACTCAGTAAGACCATTGATCTAATTCACAATGGAAGAAGAAGCCAAAGATCAGCTGGCCTTCCTTGATATACTAATAACTCTCATAGAGAATGGGTTTGAGATATCACAAACTAAACTTCACTAGAAAATGTCCAAACTTCAATCCCCACCATCTATAGAGTGTAAAGGAAGAGATCATCTCGTGTTGATAACACCATGCAAAATTCATAAGTAGTAACCCAGAAACATATCAAAAGGAGATGATCAGCATCAAACATGGCTTTCAGAGTAACAACTACCCAGCAGGCATACCATCATCTTGTAATGGACATTAAATCTTTTCATTTGATGCGCATTCATGGAAAACCCTATCAGTAGCATTAATCCTTTTTCAGCTTTTGGGTATGTATAAAACGAAAAAACTGTGAGCATGTGTGTTGTGAACCAGAAGAGACCAATTTTCTTTCACTGCAGAATGACATTGAGATAGGATGCTAAAATTAGTGCTCTGTGCAATATATACACATGACATAGACAATGGACCACACTCACTCATGAATTCACTAGAAGAGTAGGTTTAATTTTTCTTTCATTCTTTACACTGACTCTTAAGAACATTTCTTAAACTTTTCTTTACAGAAAAAAAATGTTCCTAGTAGAATATTTCTATCTCATTTTGTTTTGCTCTTTTGTTTGCTTATACTATACTAGTCAATACTTTTAGTTTTTGTTCAACAAATGACACCTTCTTAACTTCAAATGACAACCCTAACCTTAATAACAATAAGCTCCTGCAAGCAGAGACAGAAGGGTCGAATAGGAAGATCATAAAACTCTCATGGTCTGTCTTCCTTATATCAAGGATGTAAGGGAGACAGAAAGGATTCAAAAGATCTTCAGTCTATAAAAATCAGGACAATATTCAGAAACAACTCAACTTTACAAAAACATCTCTACTGAGACAAGCCTAACACAGAGAACATAACCATGCCTTCCGTCCCTTGTAGTAGTGGCAAAGAATACAAAAGCGAAACCAGTCAACCCCTAATATTATTATTAGAAATATTGAAAAGCCATAATTAGAGGTGAGACAATGAAACTTGGCATGGCTGATCATGTATAGAGGAAAAGAGATGCTAATCAACTCCTGTAGAATGAAGTAAAAATACTAGGCAGAGAACACTGGAGAATCAGATGTATGGTAGCCTAGTATATGTATTGAGTGTATGAGAACTTCATCAGCAGGCCTAACATAGATATAAATATCATATAGCCATTAAGAAAGAGGGGACCTTATATACTAGAAATATCAGTAACTAATAACATTGGTGCATGGCAAAACAACTGCAGGAAAGCAATACAAAAGAGAAAGGAAGTAGTAGCAGCAGCAGAGGAAAACAAGCTGGACAACATAATTGCAGCAGAAGAGGTAAGAAGAACATTATGTTTAAGGTTATCAGTTCTAACTTCAAGATTGTCTCATGATTAACATTTTAGTGAATTTAGTGGCATAATAATTGTGTTCAATTCCTGAAGCAGGTAGTATGGATATATTCAAACTCAGAAGAAAAAGGACTAGCAATAAGTGAACAGTACTAAACGGACAATTAACTGAAGATGAGACATCCTGATACAAAGCAATGAATCTATTGAATAAAAAAGGGTTCAGTTTGAAAGTTTTGGAGGGAAGAATATTGTAATGAGAATATTAGTCCAAGTGTTAATAATAGTGCATGTTTATTTTTTTAAATTATTGTATTTAGTACAGCTGAGATAAGTTATAAATTCATGGATGTACTTTGTTTCTGAAGAAGACTGTCTTGTAATTCATCAATGGCTCTGGAGGTGACCTCACAAATTCTGGAGCAGTGAGGACACTAGAAGTCTGGGTTTGTGACCAATGTCAAAGTTTCATGGTGTTGCTGTTCTCTTTGAATAGTAATTTTTTGATGTTAGGCGTCTTTGAAATTTACAGAAGTTTGGTGGAAAATGGTACACACAATTGGCATATTGGTTAGTAGCATACTCCTTTAGTTAATCTTACACCAGTTACATCTTTATACCATTTCTTTGGTCAGCCTTGACATCTTCTGCCACATATCTACTTTTTATTGCCATTTGTTAAAAACTCGAGAATCACTATCCAATCAAATTTACAATATTTTTTCTTGTTTTGCTACCTTGTGTAGGACTTCCTGCAGTTTCCTTTCCATTTGCCATCAT